TGGTGCTTCACATTGCCAGATACTCACATTTTAGTGCAAATAAGTTTTCAAATTCTCTTGGGGTGGGGGTAAATTTTGGTTGGGCAAGGATGAGCATCCCAGGTACCACTAAGGGAAAAATGTTATAAAGGATGGGCTGACATACTTCCCCCTCTCAATATGCCCAGAAATCACTGAACCCTTACTTCCTGTTCCTTTTATCATGGGTGCCTTCTCCTCCACTGTTTCTTTCTTTCTTACTTTTTTTTTAAAGAGAGAGAATTTTTTTTAATATTTATTTTTTAGGGGTTTTTTTTGGTGGACACAACATCTTTATTTTTATTGTTATGTGGTGCTGAGGATCGAACCCAGCGCCCCGCGCATGCCAGGTGAGCACGCCACCGCTTGAGCCACATCTCCAGCCCCTCCACTCTTTCTTTAAGCATTTCCTTGTCCATTTTCTAAGGTCCAGTTCATGCCCACAACTTCAAGGCAGCCACTACTCTATCTTCTCTCTTCTAACCTTCCACATTACCCACGGTCTGTCCTCCACTCCATCACTAACTTATTTAGTACAGAGTCTCATACTCCCCATTTTCTCCCTAACTTTCTGCACAATGCTCATGAGCAGAGGTTGTGCCTGCTTCCCATTTGGTAGTTACTTGGGAAACCTGTGACCAATATTCAAGGCTTATCTGACTGACCAGTTGCCCTAATCAATGTCACTCTATGGACTGCTTCTTCAACTTCAGCTCTGCTGGTCTTGGGTTGGGCGGTACTTTATAACTTTGGGTAAAACATACATTCTAAAATGGTACACATCCACCTACTAAGTCTTTCTATTGATATGAACAAATTTAGGAAGAAACACCTTTGCCTGACACTCAGAAAAATACAAAACACCTATGCTTAGAAAACAAATAAAGGCAGAAACAAATCCAAAAAGAGATGATTCCTACTATTCTCATTTTACAGCCTGCATAAAGGTGATTAGGGAGGTCAAAGTGAAGGAAGACCATCTTTTAAATATACTATTAACTGGGTTCTCATTCACTTAAAAGTTGATATTTCTGTCCAGGAGGAATTTAAGAACAGGGATTACTGGAACTCATACTTCTTTTTTCCAAAAAATGTACAGGTCTTTGTACCAAAAGCAAGTCCCCTAATGGCAAGCTGGTCCACTGCTACATACCCAGGAAACACCGTTTATTTAAAAGTATCAGAGCAGCCCTCTCTGCCTTAGCTCCCATCCCCCCTCTTCTCTGGTTCAGGCTTTCAAGATTGTTCCTGTGCCTTGGGACAGATGTAAGCGTTCCTGCACAATTCTGCAATTAGGCAGGACATTAAGTGTATCTCCAAGAATAGACAAGAGCCCCAAGTCACTGGAGCTGGGAGGTGGAGTATAGTGAACTTGGCTGCAGGTGCGCCTGTCATTCCAGATGACAGCGAGGACCTTCACCTTCAAGTTCTTTAAAAGGCAGCACACCCCAAAGTACTTAGCTCCAGGGAAATTAACTCCAGAGGTTTAAAAGGAAAGGAAACAACAAGACAGGAAGAAGCTAGCTGCCCTGCGAAGCACCTGCCTCCCAGTAGCATTTCCAGGCCGGGCGCCCTGTCGACGGCCCCTGTGGGAGAGAAGCTCCCGCTACCTGGCGTCGGGCTCCTCCTCCGACTCCGCTGCAGTCTCATCCTCCTCACCCTCCGACTCCTCCTCAGTCTCCAGCTCCTTGGCTGCCTCCTCCTCCCTATCGGAGCCGAGGAAGCTGTCGGTGGCGTGGTTGCTGTCGCTGCTCGCCATCGCGTCTCTCTGGGCCGGAGTCGGAGCCGCCCGCGCCGCGCCTGGTGTTCTCCCTCTGACTGCGCCTCTGGCCCGGGCCAGTCCCTGCCCCGGCGGGGGCGGCTCGGGTTCCCGGCGCTGGGGGCGGGTAAGCCCCGCGACTTTAAATAGAAGGCGTCAAAAAGTTTCGCCACCACCAAGCTTCAGGGGCCCCGGGCTCAGCCTGTCCTCTTCCCCGCCTGTGTGCCAGCTTCCCCGCGCCCTCCCCCGCCGGTTTTGGCAGATTGCTGGCGGGCTCTTTCGACAACTGGAGAGTCCCTACGTCAAGGCGCGCGGGCTCCGGTGGCACCTGGGCTTCAAAGGAGGAAAAGCTCTTCAGCCCGATCTCCCTTTCCTTCAGAGCCAAATATTTCGATGAGCCTTTTCTCCCAAACAACAGTCCTTCCTGGGCAGAGAGCTTGCTAGTGTGAGGTACTGTCGAGGGTAATTGCAGAGCTGTGAGGCTCTGGAGAGCTTATGGTTCCACTGCTAGTACAGAGACTCGGAAGAAACAAGACTAGGTCTCTGCCCAATTAGAAAGCTGTTTTGAACCATTGTTCAATATTGGCTCTCTTTACAATTGTGTATTCTTTCTGTGGCCCCTGATTGTTCAGTCAGGTCATTATTTCAACTAATTTTAAACCCACACTAGCTAAAGGCAAAGTTTTGTCTGAAAATAAGTCCAAAGGTCCCCAGACCTCATTGGATCTTGTGAAGCCAGTGCTTAAAATGTCCCCACTACTCAAGGACTAAAGCAGGAGAGCCTCATGCAGATAAAATCCTGACAGCCCACATCTTACCTATTTGGTCTCCTCTTTGGAAGTCAAGGATTCTCAAAATTTATACCACACATACTCTGTCACATGTGAATGTAACAAAAAGTCAATCTGAATGTAGAATAGTGATTACTAGTGGCTAGAAAGGGTGGAGGAAAGGAAGATGGAGTGCGGTGGGATAATGGGTACCAAAACAGTTACATCAAAGTTCCAGTGCTCCACAGCACAGAGGGATGACTGCATTTCACAATAACCCATTACACATTTCACGAATAAGGGACTTGAAGAATAGGGCTGTAATGAGAAGGAAATAAAGATAATAATTACCTTGATTTAATCAACTGTACCCCATAAATATGTACAATTAAAATAATAAATCTCCTTCTGAATTCCTGATTGCACAAAAAAATCTATGCCTTATTTAAAACAACACTGAAAATACAATATTAGTAAGGGCAATAAACCAGAGACTACAAATAGGGAATGTAGGACGAAGTATATTCCTGTTTTATTTTCTAATTGGTCTTAAAAATAAAAATCTAGATAAATTTTTTTTAATTGTATGAAATCATTACTCTGTACCTTTACCTACACAATTTCTTCTATCTGAAAAAGTTCTTCCCATCTCTGATTACTGATAATTCAAGATCACCCCTTTTTCTGAAATCCTCAGGTTAAACTCAGTACTCCTTTTATGGGTTCCCATATGAGCTTACATTTCAAGTATTTTGGTATCTTTCCCCCAGTAGAATTTAGACATTTATTACCTATCTTTGTCCCACAATCCCAGCTCAAAAACTGGCAAAGCACCTCGCACGCACACAGAACAAACTTAGAGAATGCTCCCTGAAGAGAACAGGACCAGAGCTGCTGAGTATGCACAACAGGTACAGATATCTTTACAATGCAGAAAGGTATCACTCTTTTTATGAGAATGACTTTATAACTAGAATGGCAAATACTGGGGACGGGGGTAGGGGGTATCGGGGATTGAACTCGGGGGCATTCAACTACTGAGTCACATCCCTAGCCCTATTTTTTTTTTTTTTTTTTTTTGTTTAGAGACAGGGTCTTACTGACTTGCTTAGCGCCTTGCTTTTGCTGGGGCTAGCTTTGAACTAGCAATCCTCCTAACCTCAGCCTCCTGAGCGGTGGGACTACAGGCATGCGCCATAGCGCCAGGCCAAACACTTATTTTTAATCATAGCAGATTCTATTCACAGAATTGTTGAATATGATGAATGGAGGTTTGGTATTTATTATTCTCTAGTTATGCCAGTTTGTATGTATATGTTTGGTCTGTGGGCAAGGAAGGGAAGACAAGTCAGATACACTATGGAACTAATAGCTTAATGGGCATAGGAATAGAAACAGAAGAGTCCAGGCTCCCAGGTTTTATTAAACCTGGTTTAACATTAGGTAGGCTTTCCATTAACAATTCAAATGACCATGCTCACCTGGGACAAAAAGAATTCAATTGCAGTTGTGGGTATCTGCTAAAATCTAACCTACTGGTAGCCATTCTGCTTCTTCAAATTCACTCAGAATTTCTCAGGAACACTAAAAAGTCTAGAAAACTTATTTGCAAAGAACCTAGCTTGAATTAATCCAAAATTGAGAACTGCAGTACAGAGTATAATACTTTAACAAAACATGCAAATATATAGAAAATGGGGAAGTCAACACCAATAAAATAATTTAGTGTTCACTGCACAAATAGCTAAGAACAAAATTAAGTCTAAAAAAAATCTTTCATATATTCACAGCCCACTTATCTGTCCCATTTGAACTGTCACAAAGTTCATAATCTTAAGTGTCAGCCCACTGATCTAGAATGAAAGTTGATTAACTTCTTGATCTAGTGGTAACACTGAATCAGCTGAAAATGAATAATAGTGTAGGGTCACTGAAAGCTGAGAAAATAGTGGCAGTGCAAGAGTTCACACTATGGTAAATTCTGGGGCTTTATTAGGAAATGCCATAATAACTGCAGAGGCAGAGCACCTTACACACACCCATCCCTGAGAACTGTACAATATTACTGAATGATAAGTACTATTGTTTGTAATGATTACCCAAAGTCATCACCTGAATATTAATTATACTCAATTCATTTTGATAAAGAAGAGTTGTACAATGTATAATCAATTTCAGGAAAAATTCCAAGAATTCGTATAAAAAGTTCAACTGTATCAAATATTACACATTAGTAATCTAAAAAAATCACCTACATGGAAAGCTTCATTCCTAATGGCAGAAAAAATAAGGTACTAATATGGTTAACTGGCTTTAACCATGGATGAACTTAATTCCAAGATTCTCTATATTAATCTAAATAACCAAGCACAACAAATGAAGTCAGATCAGCTCTAGATGCTAACTATAGCCCCAATCTCATTTCAAAAGCAAAGATGTTCACAGAAAAACAATTTCCATATATAAACTTTATTCCATTTGACATCATACAAAAGTTTAAACGTAAAGAAAATGAAAATATGCACCTTTTACATGTCAAAGAAAAGCAAGTTTTAGCTTCTGAATTGGCTTGCAAAAAAAATACTTAAGAGGTACAAACTGTATTACAGTAGGTCTAAAAGAAGTTGTCTGCAATCCTTTTAAAAAAGTTAAAACTGTTTTCAAGATTTTTTTAATATTTAAATTTACAGGCACTCGCCAATTTACAAATATTTACATAAATTTTAAAAAACCTTAATAAACACTGTAACTTTTTTAGCAGCCACCACTACTTCTTTGATGTGGAAAAGAAATACTACAAAAGATATTTTTACAAACATTAAGCTTTTATTTATATTTTTTTATGTCTTATCTAAAACTCTACTCTGTAGTGGCTTACTGCCTAAAAATTCCAGTTTAGATTACGGTCCTATAATTGTACACACACCAAAAAAATCTGATTCTACAAACAGGATATAATCTTAACTTTGATGCTTCAGTTTCTGTTGCTTCTTGTCATCGGAAAAATAAGCAGGAAACGGAAGTAAAGCAAAAGTGCACATTGCACTAAAGCACAGGAAACTTAATCTTTTCAAAATGTCTACATAAAATAGTCCTTAAAACAGTTCTTAACAATTCACTAACTGCTCTAAGAGTTAGTGCTTGCATTACTACAGTGCAAAATGTGTTGTTATTTCAACATAAAATCTAAAGCAATCTCAAAAGTACATCAAAAGCACGTGAGGTACTAATGAAATGCTAATAAAGACACTCAAAGCCTCAATCTGTCCCTGGGAGGCAAGTGAAGATTTAAGACAATTGTCCAGTATTTCATGACACTGCCGTGATTTTACTGAAATAAAAGATTTCATTTTGCTTCAAGTAACTGAATAACTGACTTGAATCTTCACTTTTTAAGAACAGACTTAGACAACAATCTATCTGTTGTATATTACACTTTAAGCATGTACAAATGAGATCCTTTCCAAAATCCCACACAGCTCTTCACTCTTAGTATGTGGTACAATTAACTGAAATTGTATCAAAAACCTTTTTATTTGTTCAGGTAATTTCCCAAAATATATTTTATCTGATTGCCTGAAAATTCATGCCATAATATTACTAATCATCAATGTAAACATCTTCAAAAATACATTTTTTAAATCAAAGTATTTTATTAGGAAATGTCATAATAAAATATGCCATCTTTATATAAGTGTGTCCTTTTAAAAATAAAACAGGAAATAAGAGGAACAATTAAAAAGAAACCATGATAGAGGTAAACAAATGCATTATGCTGTAACTATTGTTCTTTATTTCTCAGAAGAATTTAAGAAACAGAGGCCAGTTATCTTTTCAGGATAGCAGCTCTTAAAGGTAGTATACTGTTCAAATCTCTTTTGTTTTTCAATCTGTGCCATGACTGGGAGAGAGAGAGAAAAAAAATCATTCTTAAAACATAAAATATATGCAGAATACAGAATAAAAGACAAAGAATGTTAACAGTGGTTTTTTCTGATGGTGGAAAACTTTTGGGTAACTTCTTTCTTCCTTGTGTTTTTATTTCCCAAGTTGTTAACATCATCCAAGTATTGTTTTTGTAGCCAAAAAGAAAATGTTATTTTAAAATTCCATACCTGTATGGTTCTAATTCATTAATTTAAAAGTGCAAAAAAAACATAAAAATAAAAGTACACATGCAGGTGGTACAAAAAAAGTAAAACTGACAATAACAACATTCACAGACTTAATACTTTTGTCTAAAATAGGAAGACAATTAAAACAAAACTTTTGGATTTGAGAAGGTAAGAAAAAATTACTTCAATTAGTTGATAACTTTTTCTTGTCTTTACTAGCTTTTACAATTACAAATATTACGTATGAAGGACAAAGTAAATCTAAAAAAGGCAATTCATGTATGCCCCTGAAAACAAATAATGAATGGAATTTATTTTTTTTAAATCCTGAAATTCCTGTTTACAAGCTAAAAATCTGGCTCACTACTTTAATTTATTCTCATAATGGCTCCAATGACTAAAAATATTGGTTTTTCAGCTACATAATTCTAAATGAAAAGCTCACTCATCAATAAGAACAAGGTAGCAAAATGCTACTTCCGAGTTCTTAATCTGACAGACAAAAGTATTCCTTCTTAAGTATCTGTTTTAAAATTAAAGACGTTCTATGCTGGGGTTGTAGCTCAGTAGTACAGTGACTGACTAGCATGTGTGAGGCACTGGGTTTGATTTCTCAGCACTGCATATAAATAAATAAAAGTCCACCAACAATTAAAGAAAAATAAATTTAAAAAAAATTAAAGTTCTGTACAACAAATTTTCTATTCTGGCTGACAAATTGAGAGGGCCTAGTTTGAAGGATAGCTGATAATATAATACCTGAATTTTAAGTTATCATTAAAATAAAGTATGATTTTCACAGTTCTCTGATCTTTTTCTTCTATTAAGCTTTTCCCCCATGTTTCTATTAATGCACTTCCCCACATATGGTGGAATTTCATGAAGACAGGGACCTTGTCTAGCAACACTAGTAATAAATTTACACTGAAAACATATACAAACATATATTTTCAAAACTTCTCAAAATATAAACAAGGATAAAATGGGACTTTAGTTCCTTGTGACAGTGAAATATGCAAGACAACAGCTTTCTTTTAAGGATATAAAAAATACCCTGATATTTTAGGGAAGGAAAGGAATCCATTAGGCTTTACTCATTATTTTGGGAGTTTAATAAGCTCCCTATAAAAATGTTTATTTCTTTAAAAAAAAAAAAAAAGTCACGTGTATGAAAAGAGAGCCAGCTTTCTCTGAAGGAAACAGTATATCTATATTCAAGTAATAAATTCCCTATTACATTATATTAATGGTTTCACGACAATATATATTCATTTTTATAGCATACTATTCCACTAATGTTTATAGAGTTAATTTGATGCACTATTTACCTTTAAAAATTGATCCTTGATCATGTCAAACTTCTGTTTTTCATGCACAGCTCTGGCTGTATTAGTCCCATCAAAAGGTTCTGCAATGTTAAATGCACATATGAAAAATAAATTCTTAAAATGAGAACTTTCCTTTTTTGGTGGGGGGGCAGCTGATGGTGGTGGTGTTCAAACTCAGGACTCACCCATACCAGGCAAGTACTCTACCACTGAGTTATGTCTCCAACCCTCCAAATTTTTTAGATTATGTGAAACTGTCAATATATGATGGGTTTTGACCTATGAAAACAGCAATTTCATATGGCTCAACCTAATATCTTTATTGAACTTATGCATACAGAAAAGTTTCATACAGCTATCAGCTGTCTAATAAAGATAGAATTCAAGTAAAATGACTAAAAATGAAAGTTATCAAAGTAAGTTAATTCTAAATCATAAAAGTGGATAAGATTTCTGAAGAATTACAGAGGGTCAAGTATCTACCCTAAGAGGGGAGAAAGTTAAAGAATAAAAAGTTATCGAGGTTAGGGATGTGGCTCAGTGCCCCTGGTTTTAATCCCCAGTACCAAAATAAATAAACAAGTACCACTCTATTCATGAGAGGTACCCAATGTCAAATGTCACAGGAAGGTAATCTGAAGTTTAATTTTAATTTAAAAGCTGATTTTGTCCAGCAGAAGAAAGGTCAATAAATCTTTAAAGCAGAAGTTCAACACTGGAGAAAATGAAACATAGTGTTATGTTATGGTGTAGTGTGTAGTTTAGAAAGAAATACAGTGAGGATAGTAACTTCTATGAGAAATTTAGTAGAGAAAGAAGAGAATCAGAATAGGAGACAGGAAGAAAACAAACAAAAGTTTGTGTTTTTCCCATATCTACATTCCATGTCCAGACCCACCTTCACCTATAAGATAAGGGAGAAGAGTCCATATTTGGAAATAAATGACAAGAGGACAAGGAAACTGAAGAAGGATAACTGAAGTCATTAGGAGTGAGATTGATTGGGAGCAGAAGGCAAAACTTGCTATAAATTAAGATTCTGGACCCTGTAAAAGAGGAGGGAAAGTACTTAGAAGAATCAGTAGGATCAAGCTAAGAATATTTTTCAAAGATGAAAATGCCTATAAATATCTTAAAGCTGAAAGAGAGAGATGGGAGAGAAAAGGAATGAAGTTGCTAGAAAGAGAAATGGTAGCTGAGGGGAAAGACCTGGAAAAACTGTGAAAGGAAATCTGATAAAGGGTTTTGCTGTAGATTACAGTACTATAATCCAAGCAGGCCCATAATCTTAAAAGCTTCTTTATTTATTTTGTATTGCTTAGAAGGGCTATTTTGTAAAGGGTGTTTATTGTCACAGTTATTATGTTTTTTTTTTAATTTCAAAAAAAAAAAAAAAAAAAGGACAAGGCCATATGCCAAAGTATAGTGAATCACATCATACACAGTACTTTAATAACAATGTTTAATATTCAAAAGAACACAAGTAACTAAAATAACATACACTCTCTGTAAAATTTATTAATAAACCAAATACCAAAGCAGATTTTAATTCCTATTCACAAACTCAAATTTTAAGATGCTGCATATAATTCAAGACTAAAATATTCTAAATCTAATGTTTTCTACAAACACTGATTCTCAATTCTTTTCTTTTTTATCTTGAGATTTACAAAGGTCTTCAGTTTGGTATCTATGCAAACAATTTTGCCTCTTTTATTTTTTTTCCTTTTTCTTTTTTTGATGCTGGGAATCCAACCCAGGGCCTCATGCATGCTACGCAAACTCTCTATTATGCCTCTTAAAGTCAGTTTACCACTGACTCAAAGAAAATGTCTCAGCTACACATAAATTAATTTTAGAGAAAAGAATTTACTTTCACGTTAACTTTCATAGTAAAATTAACTTCAGAAAAAAACTAGTTTGCATTAAATAACAATATTTTCAGTGTCAAAGAATACAGATCATTTCAATAAGAATCATCTTCTATGATATTTTCTCCTATCTGTAAATCATGACATTAAATTTCAATCAATCAAAAGTAGGAGGAATGCACAAAGCCTATTCAGCTCTTACCAACAAAGATTACTCAAATTCATGTTTATTATTTCTCATAACTAAAGAATTTGAAATGATTTTTTAATTAAAAATTTAAAACTAGAAGACCTGTGAATCACTTCAAGACATAAATAAATATATTACTTTTAACTGCAATACAAGCTGAAATTAGTCAAGTAATTCGGTACCATGATGATAACTGGATAGTAAATAGAGTAATCATGGGAAAACTACCTTCTACACAGATGTATTTATTTCTCCATTCAATACCATCAGGCCTTGGAATGGCTTTGGCTTCACGAACTGAAATCATTTGACTATTCCAGCTATAAGAAGAAAAACATTAAATCATGTCAAGTATTTTCATAATCTCCTTTTTATTATATCTAAAGTAAGGCCAACCCTGATTTTCTTACAGAATAATGAAATTTGCCTCAACCATCAGCACAATCTTTATTTCCCTTCTCTAATTATTTTCTCGACAGCACTTACCTTCTAACAACTTGCTTATATATTATGTTATTATTTCTTGTGTGCTTCCCAAGTAGAATGAAGTCTAAGATGCTTAGATATTTATCTTTTTTTCCTACTGTTCATCTACTTACTGAGTACATACAAGCTATTCAATACATGTTTACTGAATAAATGAAGTAGTAAAAAAAAACTAAAAAACTTTAAGTAATCAAAAAATTATGCTCACTGCTAATACCCAAATAAGAATTTTTTATTTGTTAAGAGAAAAGCAATCTTCTTGTGTTGTTTTCTGGTACCATTTGTTCAGGTATATCTTGTATGTCTTGTGAGAAATTTTTAAAATTTATTTTTAAATTTTTAAAATTTCTAATAGAAGCATGTAGGTATTGTTTTAGGAAAACAAAACTGATACTCTATGAAAACAATGCTATTGCTACATATCAGACACAGCTGTCAACAGCAAAATTTTACTCAAGAAAACAACTTTATTGGCACAGCTAAAAATAAATCATCTGATCTTTAGTATACACCAACTTTATACTTTGTTTCTTAAAGGTTTAAGAAGTTTTCACATTTCTAACAGTTATTACAAGCATTCTTTTTCCAAAGGAACATGTTAAAATATATGACCATTCTATACAAGAGAAAAATAAATTTGAAAAATAGCTCAAATCCTTTTTTCAGCAGTATTTAGCTTTCTCTACCATTTCAGCAAGCAGAGAAAGACTACATCTTGGAACCTTCCGATTCCAACATTCACCCTACCCTTCCTCTATGTAAGAGAGGATCCATAAGAATATAACCACAGGTCCAGCATGCCATTTGTTTCTGGAAATGTCATAAATTTCTATATTAATTAAGAAAAATCTTGTATCTTCTGAAGTTTAATAATTTAAAGCATGTTACAAGTATAATTTTCTATTTTGTTTTACCAAAAGTGGCATAGAAATATTATAAAGGGATTTTAAGTCCTTTAAATATATGTGTGTCTGTATGTACATATATATAATATCACTTATATGCACACACACATCTGAATTTATACATTTTAAAAACAAGTGAGATTCAGGTGTAGTGGTACAAGCCTGTGAACCAGCTACTCAGGATGCTGAAGCAAGAGTATCATAAGTTCCAGGCCAGTCTGGGCAACACAGCAAGACCTCATCACTTTCCTCATGCCACACACAACACACACACAAAATGTGCTGTCAAATGAAAATAATATTAGTTATTGGTTACAGCAAATTTTTTTAGAATCCTCATGTACTGCAGTTCCAGAAGTATGAACTCAAAAAAAAAAATAATAATTCTGATCTATTGCTTTAGATGTTTCTTAAAAATTAACAATATAAGGGGAAGAGTTATGGAACCATAACTGAACTAAACATAGTTATAATATTATACTTTGTATTACTTAAGAAAAATTTCACTAACAAAATGAACTTTCTCCTAGGATGATTTCTAGTATCAGCTTAAAGGGAAATTGTATTTGTAAACATTACTTTTAAAATGCACAGATTGATGTTTTTTTCTTTCAGAAGAGTTTAGAATATTAAAATATAAGGCTGTAGGTATAGCTCAGAGATAGAGCACTTTACTACCTGGGTTCAATACCAGTGGAAGGAAGAAGGAAAGGAAGGAAAAACTACTAAAATACTATATCCTGCTGTTAAGTTACAACTTTTGTTTCTTTAAACTAAAGGAATTCAGTTGTCAACACTAAATTTCTATTAAATTCAATTCTGAATTTACATTAGATGCCACTACCTGACTACTTGGTTCTAAACTGGGTCACAAAAACCTATGCAACACATATTCATTTAATTGATTATCCCTAATCAGGTATCATTTACGCTTCAACTTACAATCAACCCAAGTAATGCAAGTTATTTAAATGACTATCATTTGAAGTACTTCAAAGGGAAAAAAAAATACTTTGAATCACAACCATTCAAACTGATTAAATCTACTCATTTTCAACAAACTTTTGAATATTTTTAATTATTAACTATTTCAAATCATTAAAACATAATATATAATTTATTTACTCTAAGAAGTAAATTTAAATGTAGAATGTCAATGGTAATTTTAAAAATATTTTCCTTAAATATTTCATTCTTTAAAACACATAAGGCAGGGCTGGGTTGTAGGCTTAGTAGTAGAACACTTGCCTAGCATGTGTGAGGCACTGGATTCAATCCTCAGCACCACATAAAAATAAATAAAACAAAGGTATTTTGTCTACCTACAACAACAAAAATACAAAGACACACAAAGCAGCCAGGCATAGTAGTGCACACCGAGTCTCAGTGACTTGGAAGGCTGAGGCAGGAGAATATCAAGTTTGAGGTCAGCCAGGGCAACTTAGTGAGAGCCTGTCTCAAAATAAAAAAAAATTAAAAGGGCTAGGGCTGTATCTCAGTGGTAAAGCACTCCTGGATTCAATCCCCAGTACAAGAGTGTGGGACTCCAGGGGGGACAGAGACAGAATACAAATATACAAGCCCTTTATCATACTGATCTATTCTTGATCATTATTTGCTTACCATGTGAAGCACTGATTACATTGATTATATTTCCTAGAATCCTTGGTGATCCTTGTCCACTATTTTGTCAGTTCATAGTTCCCAATGAATCTGTGAAGCCTAACTTCATTTAAAAAAATTTTAGCATAGCAGCACAATGTGAGTGAAGTGGGTAAGAAAAACCAGTCATTTTTTTATTTACTTATCTTTATGTTATGTTATTTATTTAACAGTTGGGGGTCTGGCTATATTGCCTTATCTGCCCCTGATCTTCTGGGCTCAAGCAATTCTTCTCCCTCAGGAATCAGAGTAGCTGGTATTACAGGCATGCACCACCATAGATGTCTAAAGATCCATAATTTTTAAATGGCTATATAAACCTTCTACAACGTTTATATCATGTACTCAAAGCATTCCTTACCAAGCATTTAATTCTTTGTCTTTAAAGAGAATTTTTAAATTGAATATCTCAACATACAGAAGAAATTGATCCTCAGCACCACATAAAAATAAAAAAATAAAGGTATTGTGGTGTTCAACTACAACTAAAAAAATATTTTTTTTTGAAAAGGGCTTTACTTTTTAGAATCTGAATAACATTTCTTCTTTCATGTCCCATGTTTCAAATCATCTAAGTCAGATTTCTTTAGAGCTACTTGTATCACATCTGAAAAAACAATACCAATATTGCAGTGTATCACAGTTAAGTGTGAACTGTGCAAACTATCTGAAACAGTACCCTTATAAGGTATGAGATCTTTCAGTGAGTGACTTCATCTCTCTTACTTCATATCTCTCTAAGCCTCCCTGGTAAAATATGAGGACATCATATAATACCACCTAATAATAGTTACTTTGTAAACTGAATGAGATAATACATATAATCTGCTTAGAAGCATTTTAGCACTTACTAATAGTAATTTATTATTATTGTTATTCTTCTCTCCAAATTCCTTCAAAATGGTTTAAGGTTCATTGCACCCTCCTCTAATTTTGTATAATTCCCAAACTTGTCTTCTTCCTTCAAACTTCCCCAGATTGATCAGAAAAGCAGCAAACAAATACTAGCCTCACTATCTCTGGACTTAGAACTCCCAAAAGAATTTTCTCTTCTGTCTGGACTGATTGTGCACTTTGTCTCATGTTTATATATTGCCCTCAAAACAAAAAAGGAGAAAAAGATGTTTCCTTGATGTGCCTATCACACTAACACAACTATTAATCAGATAGCATGAATTAAATAAAAAATTTCCAAGTCTGTCTTGGCTGTATTTTTAACTGCACATTTTAGTTCCTAGAAAATGTATCTGTTCCAATCTACAAAATACCTAAAAGACAGGACCCATAGAGACTCTTTTATGGAATGAGGCAGCAAAACAAAGTGGGAACATGAATAAAATCAGCTAAAACTGGGCTTATTAAATGGAGCTTATTAAACTATAATATTTTTATTAGTTAGAATTATTAGATCAATTTAGCATCTAATATCATTACATATTAAATTTCATAAATTACACATTTCTGAATATGTTTACAGCACTATAGTTGACAAATAGAGCTTCTGACCAAATTTGTAGCATTCACTTACATATAAATGAATAAACACAATTTAAAGTTTTACTTACTCAAACTCTGTAGCATAATATTTAAGAAAGCCCAGTAAGAGGTCCCCAAGACTTGATTCATTCTTTGAGAGGTAAGGAGGAACATTACATGGAGCTTGATGTACAAGGTGCAGCTGTATAACAGGACTGAAACATTCCTGTTAAAAAAAGAAAAAAAATGTAAAGCCATTTAAAACATTTACACTAAAAAACTTAACAAATCCTAATGCAAGTTGAGGAGAGAAGAAATTTTCTTTTGGTATCCAGGGGTACTCTACCACTAAGCTACATCCGCAGCTCTTTTTATTTTTTATTTTAAGACAGGGTCTCAACTAGTGTTGCATACTGGCTTCAAACTTGTGATCACCTGCCTTAGCCTCCCAAGTCACTAGAATTACAGGTGTGTGCCACTATGCCTGGTGAGAAAAATTTCCTTTATATTGGCAATTTGGAAATTTGAAGATTTTCTTCTAAAGGTTTCACCAATACTTGGAGTAAGCCAGAAATTACCTGAAAAACTAAGATATTCTAATTCTTGGCTCAGGTATATCATTAAGTTAACATTTCTACGGTAGCAGAAGATTTCTAACTCATAAGTAAAATTTTATTATACATACATGATTCCTCCCAATAATATTAATATTTTCATAAATTTATCTCCTTAATTATTTCTACAAGGAGCAGATGTACCTTAGGTATAAAGGCTATATCCAAACACAAATTAAATAATTTTCCAACTGCCACTTAATCTTTTTCTCAGAGGCCACAAAAATAGCTTTAATGTATAAATAGTACTTATGCTGATTTAAGATTTTTAAATTTTTGTTTTATTCTGTTTTTATATTTTGTTTTTTAGAGGGAAGAGAAGATAGACATTAAACATGAACTTGAAAAGACAAAGGCAAGGAAAAGAAGATAATACACATAACGAACAATATATTTAGCAATACTTTTACCACAGTATTTATCCATATAAACTGCTTGCAATCCAGGTCCAAATAAGACATTTATCAGAAGGAATACTAATGGATACTTAATGTTTGGCCTATGGTATATCATTCACTATCATATCTGTTCTTCCTCTATTAGCAGCAAGTTCTGAATCTGAAGAACTGCATATGAATATAAGGTTTTCAAGTAATATATACCCATAAATTAAAAAATTATTTTCCTAAGGTAATTTGTACAATGCCATTGAAAATAGTTTTCTGCATTTACCCACTGCCATCACAGCAAAAATGAATAAAAATTATAAAAAAGCAACTGAGTAAACTGGGTAATGCAGCAGAACAACTAAAATGAGTTAAGGTTACTATTTAACAGATTAACCTTGGGCTTATAGATATTATTTCAACTGAAACATCTAAGTAACTCTAAAAAAATTTAAGCTTCCTTATCATTCAATGCTAATCCTCAAAAAAAATCAATAAAAACAAAAGAGCAAAAAACAAAAATATTTTCTCCCTTGTTCCATTACCTAGAATTCTATTAATAATGTTTAACCATTGAGAAGTGATTACCTTTCTCTTAAGAAGAAAAATTCCATTCCAACCACAATTAATAAAGCTGGCACTCTCTTAAACCTGGAACTTCCTCTTATAATAGCTATTGTTATTACATCATAAAACCCAAGTTGAAATATTAATTGTCTAAGAGGAAAGGCTGGGGGAGATAGGAAAGAAGTCTCAATTTACAATAAAGAATAAAGAAAAAAGGACGAAAGATACAGTGCTTCTACCCGCCTTTGTCTCTTACTTGTTAGGTATAAACTGGACTTAGGACAACATTATTTGAAACTGTTATTTAGATATTATTTCCTGGCAAATCAAATAATAGGTATAATGTAAATCAAATGATAGGAAAAGTGGCAGGCATAATTATTATATGTCAATTTAAAATTAAAAAAGAAAGCCAGCTTCGTATTTAATAGCTCCTACTCTGAAGATTCTTACTAATTTCGATACCCATCACCTATTAAACATTCAGATTATGAACTGATGCTTTAACAGTCTTCTTATCTGAAGTTTGAAACTGTTTGAACTTCCTTTAAAATTCTTATTTTGTTCAATAATTTAAAGAAAAATATTAGCAATTATAAGATTAAAACTGAAAAGTTGTGAGATCTACTTTGTTAAAATGCTGAATGACCTTGGACCAACAATTTGGACAATCTTTGCCCAACTCTACTGTTCTTTTTTCATAAACTTACACAAAAAGAGTCATTGACTACTTATTGAGGAAAAACTGAAAGGAAAATTCAAACTTGAAAAGAAAAGTTATATGTAAATAGGAATTCCATCTACCCTTAAGAATTTCTCAGATTTTGGTAATCATTCACATTGCAAAAAGATTTTCTGCTTTAAGAAAGACTTCCACAAAGAATTTCTTTTAAAAAGGAGCTCCCTCATTATAGTTGTGGGTTTAAGAAAAATAGACAGATACATAAGGGGGTACAGAACTTAAACTAATACATTAGAAGCACATACAGAATATAAAATCAAAGGAAAAACAGCAGCTTAAAATTATAATGTAAGTCAATGAAAAGGCAATTTGACTGTAAACTACTTCTTTAGGAAGCAGATTTGGGGGATTACCAAAATTCATGTTTGCTTGATTTCCTACATAAAAGGAAGATTTCTTCATTGCATTTTTAGGACACTTTATATTGAACTACAAATCACCACATGTAATAAACAGTTCCTGAAAACGTTTTTCAAAGAATATATACATGTTGACAATATGAGGATAAGTAATCTTCCATTTCTCTTCGATCAATGCCAAGCTAGAAATTTAAAGGCAACCCCCCGAAAAACATCTGAAATGTGTCTTTACAACTGCTTACCAAAAATAGCAAAAACATCTTATATCAGATCCCATAATTTTTCTGAGATTACTTTATCTTCAAAAGTTTGAAATTTGGACAATTAAGGACTTTCTAGAATAAGTAAGACTGCTTAATCTTTATGCTACTTTTTAGTCAGTAAAAATGAAATAGTAATTATTAATAATCCTATAGTATAACAGCTTTTAGAGTAATTATATATTTATAGGTCTTTCATCTATTTCACATATTCGATATCACAAGTGACTTGAAATATACCAATTTTTAAAAATAAATGTTTTCCCTTTGAAAAGTAACAAAAGTTTTTGTGTTATTATAAAGTTTTGCCATTCTCAAACTCATTTATATAAGCAAGCAGAAAATTTGCCATATGTGTTTTTCTTAAAAATGTCTTATAGGTAGGAATAATCAGAAATACACAAATAAAATATAATAAGCAACAGAAGTTACTTGAAATTATATGTTAGTGAGCACTACTGTAATTTTGCCTTCCCCTAGGAAACTAAGGAAAATGGAAAAAATACTAGTATCTGAATGTATCATTTGTGACTATACAGCTTGAATCAATCGTGTAATCTTTCTAAGATTTAGTTTCCTCATCTGTGAAATAGGAATGATATCTTACAAGTCCATTTGTCCAGGGTTAAAGAACCTATATGTAAAATTTTGGATACTAAGTAAATGATGGTTATTATCAGTAATAAGAATCAAGTTGATTTGCTTGTTCCATCAGATGGACCACTTAAAAGCACTCTGCTTACCAGTTTGTCGGTTTCATATAAAACAAAAAATCTTACTTAAGAGGGAGTAGTAGGTCCTTATCTGTGTAAGCATCAATTTTATAGTAAAAATAACACAGCTGCAATAATTAAAATGAGTGCCTAAATGCCAATTAAAACACTATTTACAGGTCTTGAATTAGTATTTTTTAAGGCCTTAGAGTTGGGCTAGTATTGAATTTATTCACCATCACTGTTATAGACATAGGAAACAAGTTAAGACTGTAGGGTCAGAAAGAAAAAAAAAAAAGAGTGTAGGGCCAGAAGTAGTGGATGTGAACAAAGGTCTGTACTACCAAGAGGGCAAAACTAGACAATCAGAAAAATAGAAGAAACATGGGGCTGTTCAAACTAGAATTTAATAAGAATCTGGATGGGTATCTTGTCACAAAAAAGCAATATTTTTGCCCCCAAGTAAACTGATATTAAATTGATACTTTCCTAGTATCTTATATTAGCAAAAAAAGATTTTTCATAGCACCAGGTTTCAAGTGAGATTTTTGCAAAAACATTTTTCAATATATAATAAGTATAACTATTAGATTCCTTGTACGCTGAAAACTATATGCAGCTCTTTTTACGCTGCAACCTGGGTCTAAAAGGTTGGAACAATAAAATGAAATAGTAATAAACATAACCATTCTCTGTACACCTTTCAGTATGAACTAAAGAACAAATACTTATGGAAGAATAAAATGAATTAAAGAATAAGGCCAAAAAGTTAACCTACTTTTATTTTTGTACTTGCTGATGATTCCACATTTTTCATGTTTAAGAGAGCATAAAGTCTGATCACTAACTATACAGACGCTCATTATGATATAGTTCTTCAGAACAACATTATTAGTTTCTAAATGGAGGAAGACAGCAGACACCAGAAGGTTTTTGTCAAGTCTCTTCTAGCAGATGACCCACCAGAAATTGAGAGACCACCCCACTATAGCAAAATTCTATTACAGTGAACCTTTATTATTCAGTACCTTGCATGTGTGCATACTAACAAAAATATGGTTTCAGAAGGCTATCCAAACATTCCAAACAAGCAAGATAAATATTATTTCCACAGAAAATCAGGCACAAGGATGACTATGAAGGAAAACAGAAATGATAGGACTATAAAACAAGGAAACAAAAAATTCCAGAGAAGAACACAGAAAACTGGAAACAAAAGATGCATAGATTATGGATATGTACATTATATAACCTAGGTTTCTCTAAATTCACATCAAATAAATACTAATTTTTTTTCTAGTAGGCACACTTCATGTTTTCAGTGTTTCCAATTAATTTCATGATTTTAAATAAGCAGACCAGAATAGTATAATAAAGTTTACCTCTTTTGGTGTATTACAAATTAAAGATAAAAAGATTATCCAATAGTTAAACTTCTTAATTTTCCCCCAAACTTTTCAACATATAATTACTGTAGACTGAAAAATTTCTGAGTTACTAACTGAAGAAATGCTATAAAACTATATTTTAAAGTAGTATGAAGAAAACTGGAAAAAGGCCAAATAGGCCTTGATCAACTGAGTACATTTAATCCCCATTAATAATGAGTATCATGCAAAAAAAAAGTCTACCATTAACATAACTGACCACATTGTCTGCCAATAATCAAACAAAAATCAGATTTCTGAAAAAATATATGAAATATTTAAATTTTCTTATAGCAAATGCCTCAGCCTATATAAAAAAATGTTATCATGTACTTAGTTTTATTACTTTCATATTCACATTAATACTACATAGAATTCTACACATACTTGACATAATATGTATTATAATAATTTATAAGAAACACTTACTGGGTAAATTTTTTGGAGGGATGGAAGAATTGGTTCAGGTAGGGCTATAAAAAGAAAAAGTTTAAAGCTTTTGTGATTTACATGACTCATTTTACAATGCAATAATCTGTCAGCTACACCCCAGGTAAGAGACAACAAGGGTCTATGCTAAAATTCAACAGTTTTCATATACTTCATGAAATTAATCCTCAACCTTAAAATTTTCAATGTAAGATACACTTAAGTTAACAATTTAAGATTTTATTAATAGACTATATATTCCTATGTAAACCCAATGTTCCTTACATGATTTTAGAATAATAGCTATCAAGAAAAGGACATAACATTTGGCCCAACATCAAACACACACACAAAATAAGACATGGATTGTTCTACAGATATTGAATGGACATTGTTAAGATGGATATAACTATCAGAAAAATGCAATTTTAAAAGTATAGTTCAATGATATTATTAATATCATGACTGAACAGTAGTTCCACCATGACTTTCCTGTCATTATTTAATTTCCACTAACGATGCCAAAACTGAGATCGTTTCAGGAAATTATCTGTTGAAAAAAAAAAAAAACTAAAAAATCTTCCAGCTATATAACATGCTTTTTACAAAAGAATGCCTCAGCAAAAGTCAGAAATCTAAATTGAGATTCATATCACTCTGCTATCAAATAGATAAGATTTCACACAAAGGAATCTCTATCCTCATTCTACTACTATATTTGTTAATTGTTCCTCACCATTCAGGAGCCTTAAATAACTCAAATCATATTCAATGCATTAACAGTAATTTCACAATGTTATAATGTAAATGGGACAATATAAAAGGCAGTATGTCTGATAGTCACAACATAAGAACTAAAAAATATCAAGTATGTTAAAATACAAAGTAATAAAATTTCTTTACTATTAGAAACCAATAGTACCATGATACACTTTGCATTTAAGATTAAGAAATATATATAACTAAATTCAGTAACAAAGAATACTTATTTCACTTATTTTTCAAAAACACCTCTGGAAAAGATTAATGTGCACGTAACCAACTTACATGGTCTCCAACTATAAGAGTATTAATTTCTACTACATGGTAGAGAGTAGGATGCTTTATTTAAAATTCCCTTCTGCATCATGCTTCATTCCCAATTCAAAAATTAGAAATAAAATATAATTCTGTGATATAAATGTATGCAGTGTATGTCTAAGAACATTAAAAGGAAAAACACACTCATTACTTACCAAAAATCACTCTTAGGAAGTACGGATATTTACATAAATGTATTATTTTTCCTTCCAGAGGCATTCAAATGATCAAAGTTCTAGAAGACCCTCCAAGTAAACTCAAGCTCCAGTCACTTTAATTGTAAACATCTATGCATTTGTTTAATCTTTTTTAATGGTTTTAAAATAATTTTTTAAACTAATATAGAAATTCAAGATGGAATGATACAGAAATAAATAATATAGAAATCAAGTTGGAAAAATCTTACCAAAAATTAGTTTACTTAAAAATCTTAATTCTTCCCCACTGAATACCCCATAAATTAAAATTACAATAAAACAAAAAATGAAGAAAAGAACATAGAATTTGAAGATAGAATTTTTTTTCCTCCAAATGCAGTTTATTTATTCTTCCACTAATTCAGAAAGGTACAAAAGTATTAATTTTTCCATATGTACTACAAACTAAGATACAGATACAATGTTCACTAGCTATTTCCAGTTCATTAGATGGTTGCAGTGCACTTAATTTTTGTCAATGTATGTAATAGTATCTTTTCATTCATTAACTATGAACACAAACTCTATTTGGAAAATGTTTTTATCATTTGATATATTTTGGTGGGTTGTAATAAATGCGACCTTAACACATAAGTTATACTAACTCTTAACCTGGACAATATCATTCTTTGAATCTACACCAAGTAGTACTGAGTGAGAAAACAAGCCAATATTTAGTAGGTGCTCACCAAGTCTTGGCTTTCTTTTTCCTTTCTTGCATCAATTCAGTCCATTGTTAAAAAAAAAAAAAAAAAATGATATAGATGCTAACACTCAACAAGTGGGGAGGGGAAAAGAAGTTCAATGGATCAGACAAAGGGAAATGAAGAGAAGGGAGGGGGAATAGTAATAGGAAAGACTGTAGAATGAATCTGACACAAGACAGATATTTTCTCTCACATTATAACCACATCTAGGATTCCAGGTATGAAAAATAAATACCAACCACTGGTTAAGGGTGTCTCAATGGACAAAAGAACCTTTAAATATAAGCAATTCAGAAGCTTTTGAAGGCAAGAGCATCATTCAGTAACTTCCTTTCTTACAACCTTAAGATTTATTAACATTAATCATTAGAGAAACAATATTACAGTAGTTACTTATTAATACTATCCGACGGGAAATGGGTTGAGTGAGTTTAGTAGTTTTTAAAATGCTTATCTTACTCCAAAGCAATATAAATTCTGGAAAATAAAAACACTAGTTACCATCATCTAGTTTGACTTTAAAATTTGGGACTAACTCTTAGCTATAGACTAACTCTTGCACTAAAAATTTGATCCTTCAATTTTTTTCTCTTAAGAGCAAATTAAGACAAAAACAAGCTCATCACCAGGTGCAGTGGCAGGCTCAGCAGGCTGACACAGGAGAATTAGAAGCTCAAGGCCAGCCTCAGCAACTCAGCAAGGCCCTAAGCAACTTGGTAACCACCCTGTCTCAAAATAAAAACTATAAAAGGCTAGGGATGTACCATCATGGTAAATTATCCCTGGGTTAAATCCCCAGTGTCAATCCATACCCCCAAAAAGTTCACCATTGTAATTTATGACCTATAGTTAATGTCTTGAGTATAGCTAATAAGATTTTATTTTGTCTACAGTTCAAATAAGGGCTTGCTAGTCAGGCTCCCACAAACTTATAAACTTTCCATACTGATTTATCAAAAATTTAGCTATTAAAACAGCAGATGTTCAATAGCACTAAGTTAACTATTAATTACAAAACTATAAAAACAATTTAAAAATGACTTCTGGACAGGTCTATACTGGGAACAAGGTAAGCATTCCATGAATATTCATTTTTATAATTTCTAACCAGTTGATATTTTACCTTTATCATTAAAATCTCTTCTCGATGGTTTTCCCTTTCATGCTTTCATTAATCTTTTCAAATATATGCTGTCTATTATTAATTGTTGAAATATGTTCTAGGAAACACTTTAGTTTTTTCAATTTTTCTACACACAGTGGATGTCTCTTTTGTTAACGGCAGAAAAGGATATTAAAATATTTAAGAAGTTTAACAAAACTTAGAGGTTATTTTATCCAACTATTCATGTTACAGATGAGAATGTGAAGCCCAGAGAAGCACAATAACTTGACCAATAACAAAAACTAGTTCTTTGTGGTAGAGTCAGAATTGTTCCATATACCTTGCACAGTCTTCTTATATTTCTTTTTCCCTCGCAGTAAGATAATGACTATCAAGAAAGCAACTTCTAATGCCAATCACTCTAATTTACTGATGGAGAAGTACCTTAAATTTGCCAGTATAGAGTTACACATTAGCTCTGGTAGCTGATTGTTCTCTAAGACCCAGAATTGACTGATAATACTGCCTTTAACACAAACCACTTCAGTAAATGGGAGCATTTTACCAAAATAAAACATGCATAAACAAAACAGAAAATACATTTAGCATGACTTCATTACATTGGTAAAATACGAATGTTTGAATTTTTAATTTGCTTGCAACAATGTGCCTATGATTAAAGTACATTTTTCTAAAGAAGTCAATCAAATTAAAACTTTTAATGTAACCAATAAGAACAAAAGAACATGGCAGAGATTGTGGAAATTTATGAATATTAATGTTTTAGTCAAAAATCTTTTTCCTTCTTTTTAGGTGCTGGGGATTGAATGCAGGGTTTCATGTATGTTAGGCAAGTCCTCTATTACTGGGCTCTATCAGTGAGCAAACGTGAGCTTGCTCCCTCTCCCTCTATTCACCCCCTCTTGCTTATTTTCCCCCCATTTTATATATTGATATAAATTCCTAAATTGCTGAGGTTGACCCCAAAATTGTGATCCTCATGCCTCAGCCTTCCAAGTACATGGGGTTATACTTGCATACCACCACACACTACTAAAATAAAATACAAATAGGCATTAGGCATGGTATGTGACTGTTATATTATTCTTTATGTTACATATATTTATGAGAATCCTTTTAATCTATTAAATTTTTAGTAAAAGTGAAGTATAATACAGATAATCAGAAAAGATAATCAAAAAGAATAGAAATATGTTTCAGATTGAATGTAAAATTGAACTAAATGATTAGTGATATATAAAATAGCATCTAAAATAGCCACCATTATAATTCAAATCCTTCTAAAGAGGCAAATCAATCATCAAACCAATGTATATCCTAGACTAAACAATAATAAAAATACATACATTATGATGAGCTTGAAACATTTTAACAATGAAGAGGAAGATTATTAACCTTTCTGCTAACTCATTCCTAAACCATGGCCCATTTAAACTATTTTAAGTCTCTCAATAAGTAAACAAATTTCATTTTATTTAATATTTAGAAAATACACTATCTTATTTAATATTTAGTATAAAACATCTACAAGTATAGTAAAATATAAAACAAATCCAACTGTCCATAAATAATCCAATAAAATTTTGGCACACACCTTTCCAGTATTTATGTACATACGAATATATTCACAAATACCAATAGTTAACTATTTTTAAACAAAATTGGCATTATGTTCTATAAGACAGTATATCAAGAGTATATTCTTATATCATGAAGTATCTTTAAAACATGATTTCTAGTGGCTACATAGCTTTCATTTCAGGATATATAATTTGTTTAAATATTCCCCTATTCTTAAAAACTCATTTTATTTCTAATTTTATTACAACAAACACTATGAAAAACAATCATATATATATATATAAATCCATATATGCCTCCCTGATTATCAGCTAGGTATAAATTCCTAGAAATGAACCTCTGAATCAAAAGATAAGAACATAAACACTACAACACTGCTTTCTAGAAGGGATAACATAAATTAACACTCTTACCATATTATATGAGTATGAATTCCATTCTGTTATTTTTTAAAACTTCCAATTTAAGGATTTTTAACCCCACATCTACAATACTTGTTATAAATATTTTGCAATTAAACTTTTGATTAAAAAATAGGAATAGAGCTGGGGTTGTAGCTCAGTGGTAAAGTACTTGCCTAGCACAAGTGAGGACCTGGGTTCGATCCTCAGCACCACATAAAAACAAATAAATCAAATAAAGGTTAAATTCTTAAAAAAAAAAAAAGTAGGTTAAATTCTGTTAAGAACCTAAAATGACATATTCATGCTAAGAGCATACATATGCTTTGCTAAACAAGGAATTATAAAGGTTGACATCTAATAAAAATAAAAATTAACACAAATACTTTGGGCAAGCAATGGCACCCTATCATCAGACAAAGGTAAGAGACAGACATAAAGGTATAATCAAGATTTTCTTTAGAACTAGTGATAAGTCCATCTCAATTGGGATAAATATGAAAAACAAAAAGATCCTAGAATTAATCACCAGAGAAGAAAGATTCCTGAACTGAGATGTGTCAGGAGTGGAAAGGAGGTAACAATTATCCCATTTTGAGATGGTACCTACATTATTCTGAGATTCTATCCATCTTGCTTTTTTGGTGTTAATATGCACCATTTTTTAAAATCAAGTCATGGTAGCAGTCAGTACCACTTTTTTGGTTCTGATAAATAACACACACACACACACCAAAAAAAAAAGATTAGTTTTTTTTTTTTTTTTTTTTTATTTCACTATTCCTTGAAATCAAAAAGTCTGGGAATAATGCCATAATATCCAATGCACAGGTGAGAAAAAAAAGTAAGAATACTATCTATTTACCACTACCAAGTTTCAGGCCAAGGAAAAAGGAAAAACCCAACAAATGCTTACTTATTACAGTAATTCATTTGTCCAAAAATTCGGAACTAACAGAACTGAACTTGGCATTTAATATTTGGATAGATAACAAAACCCTGACAAAGAAAAAGTTAGAAAAAAATAAAACGAATGTTAACAATAACAATGTTTGGGGGTGGTATAGTTAATTTGTTATTTTCTTTTTTTCCACATTAGTGTATTTTTAAGATTTTCCTATGATCTGTATGCATGATTTACTCAAACTTAATTTAAAAATATAAAATAATTTTAATAACACTAAATTATAACTTATTTTAAATACAATAATTCTGAACAAAAGGACAAATTAAATGAGAATGGGAATCTTATTCATGCTTTCACCAATCAAAATGCTGAGGCTGAATAACTGATTGAACTGCAAGTAACTTCATTCATTCATTCATTCATTGCAAATATATAATTGTTTATGCTAGTCCAGAATTTTGGAAATAATTTCCAAAAACCCATCACACCTTTGAACTTGAATAGTCTCCCGAAAATAAACAAAACTGTACTCCCCAACACTGATGATTTCTGATCCACATATCAAGAACTCCCAATTTTCAAAATCCTCAGTACAGAAACACTACCATAAGGACACCAATTATCTCAGTTTTCCAAGCCCTGATTTTTACTATTATTGACAAAATTGCTATTAACTCCTTTCTCTGTCTCAGAACCTAAATATAGAAAGCACCAAATAATGCAATAAAAGGATGTTTTAAGGACCAGGCGCGCGGCGGTGGCGGTGGCAGGAGCATTTTGCACTGCAGCGGGAGCAGCATGGATTGGGGCATCAAGTTAAGGGGGAAAGGGGCAGGGTTCCTTCCAGCTTTCTGCCTTGTCCTGCACCACACCAGGAAGCCACTTCTACTTGGAGCAAGGAGCTTTGAGGCTCATGGTGGGGTCTCGAGGTTGTGACTCTGGCCCTCCCCACTCCATGCACACCATCAGGATCAGATTGAGGAATCTTGTGAAGAAATATCTACCCAAGAGACCTGCCAAAGATGACCCTGAATCCAAGATAAGAGAGAGGATGCATTCTTAAATCCAGCTGCATTCTTAAATCCACTCTTCAGCCAGCCACTTGGGCACAGCTCAAGTTCTCTGCTTCTCCTTCTCTCATGTGCTAAATTGGAATGGACTGGCACTTGCAAAATGAGTGCCTATTTGGGCAAGTGACTTCTCTATGCTTCTGTGTTCCTCATCTGGGAAGTGGGACTTAGTATTGTGGCACCTACCCTGTAAGCCTTCTGTGAAGGCAAATGAGTTTAAGTGGTAAAAGTGTCCAGCCCATGATAGTTGTCAGAAAATGTCTTTTTATTCTGAGTCCCCCAGACCCTGTAAGCCTTCTGTGAAGGCAAATGAGTTTAAGTGGTAAAAGTGTCCAGCCCATGATACCTGTCAGAAAATGTCTTTTTATTCTGAGTCCCCCATTCTAAAATCCAAAAAGCTCTAAAAATCAAACAAGTATCTCTTGTTTTTTGTAACATGACAGCAATCTCCAACTAAACTGACTTGATGTTAAGTCAAGTCTTTTTATCCCACTGTGGTCCTTCATATCCAAGGATTGAAAATATTCTAATAATAAAAAATTGTCCTAGTACTAACATACCAAAAAAAAAAAAAAAGGATGTTTTAAAATTGGTTTTCTTATAATCCCTGAATTGTTGTAATGAATTTGTCAGAGAACATATTTTATCCTGATGGTGATCTGCCAGGAGCTCAATTCAAACAACAGCAATAAGACTCTATCAAATCAATTTTATTAGTAACCCACCAGCTTTAACAGTTCTTAATAATTCATGTTATGGTAGATAACAGCCATTAAAATGTCAATTTTTACATGTAGAGAATGTAAACCCCATGAAGAAAATGACTGGTTTTCTATTTTGTTCACTGCTATATTTCCAGTCCTGGAGTAATGCCTAGCATTTACTAAGTGGGTACTCAGCAAATAATTATGAAAAGAACAAATAAATTATATTAATTTATAATAGTAAATTAGTATAATCTTCAAAAACCAAGGTTCTAAGCTGGGAAATATCAACTTAAAACAGGTGAGGCACTAAACATCCTAGTAAATCATCTTTTGTCACATTAGCTTCAAGTCTTTCACTCAATCTCATACCACCAGATATTCATACATTCAACAGTTATTAATTAAACATTTTAGGGCCTTGGTTTTAACTACAAATCTTTAGTTTTCCCTTTAACATCTCTTAATATCCAACTGAGTAGAACGTCTTAGACTGCACATACAAAAGGTTATTAAACATGAAAGCAAAGGTTTCAATCAGATCTTGTCAATCTGTTCCACATTTGCAGGGAATTCTCAATACTATAAGAATTTTCACACCTATCTTACAAATGGAAACAAATTACAAGAGACCATTTTATTAGCCTTTTTGTATATGACAAGTATGGCTTTTATCAGAATAGCTTCATAAACGATAGCTAACTGGGCTGAACTAAAATCTGGCAGGCAATCTGACAAAAGAGTCCTGCAATGATAAAATCTAATTGTGGAATACAGATTAAATGTTTCTTTGACCAACAAGAAAATCATTTAATTTGTTTCAAATAAAAAATAAAAAACATGATGAATGGTGCTTGAGCTTATTTTTATAGGCCTTCTGAACATCTGTCTGCCTCAAAATAATAGGTTCACAATATGGTGAAAGTTTTTTGAATACAAAACTGGATACAGAAAAACTGTCAAAAAATGAAAACACAGTAAAACTTTGTTTTCCAGGGAATAATACTTATTAAACATTCAAAACCACAAAACAGAAAACACAGTTTTGTTAACTTCAGAATGAACTTTTAATACAATGCTATTTGTAGATAAAGTCAACATGAAAGACACAATAATGAAGTTTAACTGCATTTCAGTTTTAAAAGTTGAAAAACCTCCCACAATACTTACTTTGTAAATAGTGCAAAACCATCAGTACAAGACTATAGCTGCTTAAAGTACCACGACTGGCATCATTTATCTCATGGTGACTTGCCCATTTCTTAATGACCAGCACTAATGGACGAACTCGATTTTCAACTGCAAGTAAAATTAAAACTTAAAAATGTAAGAAGATATTACAGTTTCTTTGAAAATTTATATATTTTCTCAAGTCCATACCTCATTGTATACTAAACGCTCTGTTCACTATAAATGTGTGACTTACTTCTAAACTCACCTTGATTATCTTTTTAAAATTACCATTTATTAAAATGCATTTGAGGGGCTGGGGCTACAGACAGTTCAGTGGCAGAAAGCTTGCCAACATGTGTGAAACCTAGGGTTTAATCCTTCCCACCACATAAAAAAGTTTTTTTAAAAATGTATTTGACTACCTATAATTCTGGTAGTATATAATTTTAATGTAGCAACCTATTATGTAAATAATAAAATAAGACATATCACATCTAAACACAACTAAAGTGATATTGCTATACCTCTTAAACATAAACATCTTTTAAAAAGGAATAAAGAATAAAGGAAAAGGGGCTGGGGTTGTGGCTCAGTGGTACAGCACTCATCCACCACATGTGAGGCACTGGGTTCGATCCTCAGCACCACATAAATAAATAAAATAAATGTTTAAAAAAAGAGAGAGAATAAAGGAAAAACAGAAGTTGACAATTACTTAGAAATAAACCAAAAACTTACGGTAGGCATAAGTTCTAAGAAGGAATGTGTTTCTTATTCCAACAATATTGTTTACATTCAAGTCGAACTCCACACAACTATTAAAAAAAAAAAAACACCTTTAGTTCAAGCCAAAGAACTCTCCCCTCCCTGGCAATTAAAACAATGTCAACCCATCTAATGATGCAAAAAACATGGGCTGAAAAGCTACAGATCTGTTTTTTAAAGGTGGCACTAAAGAAATAAGAAAAAATATACAATCAAGATATCATTTTAATGTGATTTGGTGTTATTAAAAATATAAACTGGGATACTGTTCAAAGATCCATAAAGTACTGATGAGGCTTCAATTACCATAAATAAAGGAAATTTTAAAATCTTTCCAGATAAGCAAAATTACGGGAGCAAAACCATTTCTGGGCAAGCTGTCCCACCAAGTTATATATTCTCAGGTGATAGGAAACTATAGTATTATACACTTTAAAACAACAGGGAAAAAGACAAATAAAATGCGGGTGAAAAAATTATGTCAAATGTAGCTACTAATACCTGGGAATAGCTATAATACTCAAACAAGTGACAAAAGGGTTACTTCTGAGAAAACAAGATATCATGCAAACCACACTTAGAAAATAGGGCAATAATAACAGAACCTACATTAACGATGGCATCCACAAGCAAGGAAGGATTACTTTATATAAGTCGCTTCCACTTATATCCACATAAGATTCAATTTCTTCTAAATATTAAATTTTTCTGTACAATATTGCCAAAATGACTAAAATTCCTTTCTATAGCTTTTAATTATAAAATTTGAAATTTACCATTTCAGTTTTTCTTGTTTTGGAAAGCCAAAGCAACCTTATAATCTTTCCACTATTCCTGCCTATTAATAAAAATAGATAGTAGTATTAACACTTCAAATATACATATCTGGCTTTGGGAAATTTATGGTAACAACAGAGTTACATTCTTTAATTATGCTTGTGTAAGTATGCTTCTTAACACTGAAACCCAATTTGTACTTCCTCCATATAACTCAAAAAAGATGAAAAATCACTTACATAGAAACTAGTCAGCAGTTAAAAACTTTTCCAAGGGGATGGACATGTAGCTTAGTAATAGAATGCTTGCCTAGCATGCACTGGGTTCAATCCCCAGTACTTGATGAGGAAAAAAAAAAGCTTTTCCAAAAATATGAATTCAGAGTTTTAAAACTATCCACAGTACTTGCCTCAAATACTACTTCTAAAAATATTAAGTAATCCTCAATATGGAAAGACTTATGCACAAAATGCTATTCACAGTAGATAAAAATTAGAACAAACCAAATGTTCAAACATAGGAGAATGGTTAAGTTAATGACAATTTATTTACTCAATACCATAAAAGCCATTAAAAACAATGCTACCAAAAATATTTAATGACATAAACAAATGTTCATGGTATATGGTTTAATATAATAGATCTCAATCTTGATTTTTTTAATACTTATTTTTTTCAGTTTTTGGTGGACACAACATCTTTATTATATTTTTATGTGGTGCTGAGGATCGAACCCAGCACCCCACACATGCCAGGCGAGCGCATTACTGCTTGAGCCACATCCCCAGCCCCTCAATCTTGATTTTTAAAAGCTTATACATTCATATGCATATAAAAGAGACTGAAAGGTTTACAACAAAATATTAACATCAGCTAGCTTTGAGTATTAGAAGTAGAGGGTTTTTGTTGTTTTTTGGTTTATGGTTCATTATAGATAAAAATTGTAAAATGGTGATTAAAGAGAACACTTTAAAAAGTTTATATAATAATCTTAAGTTAAAAAAATTATTTATATAACTATAATACAACTATATGTTATTTTAGATTATTACAATTAGCTAGTTTTTTTTTTAGTTTATCTCTATATATTTTACATCTTTATTTTAAGAAATGCTAGCACTTTTACTTGGCAGAAAGTCAATAAATATTTATATACTGGATGGATATTTAAATGAATGAAAGGGAAGGCTTGAGCCAGGCATTATTATTAGTTTAAATTTGAGCCCAAATTCCCATTAGGGCTGGGAATGTGGCTTAGTGGCAGAATGCTTGTCTGGCAAGCTTGAGGCCATGAGTTTGATCTCCAGCACTACAAAAAATAAAATAAATTGAATCAATTATTGCTATTCACATAGTTATATTCTATAAAGTTGATACTAATGCTAAATAAGCAAATACCGAACCATTACGTCTAGGGAAAACACAGGGTTAAGCTTCTGCCAGCTTGATAACATTTTTATCAATGTCAATAACTTAACCTTGATTTATATTTATACTGTGTTTCTGTTTAAAGACACTGTATTTATATACATTGTTAATTTATCAACAGTGAACTCAACAGGATGTACAAGGCTCTTGATTTAACCTCCCACTCTGCAAAACACTAAAAAAGACAAGAAAAAAAAAACTTTTCCAAAGACATAAATTCAGTGTTTATCTAACACATTTTCTCTCTTGAGCATACCACAGCCTTCTTCCACTTAGGAACACATGGTAGTACTCTGATACTATACCTGAGGGCACTCTAAACAGTGAAAAGCACAAAAATGTGAAAAATCTGGTACTAACTAGATTGTGAGGAACTCTGTTTGCAATATGAAAAGTGAAACAAGAAGGCAGGGTATAACCTTATTCATTCTCGGTTGGGAGCATCGGTATTAGGAAACAAAAATATTTTACCATTCTGTGAATGTCCTCAAATGACCACTAAAAGTAAATGAACATTGATATAGAAGGATACAAATGAACTTGACCAAGCAGGCAAATTCTTATATTCTCAGAATCCATGAATAAGAAAGCTCAACTCTGTTTATGTGTATGCTTGTGTATGCCTATAATTTTAGCATTACTTTTGTAAAACTGGGCTAGAAAAACCTGATTTACCACAATCCTATCAATTTTTAGAAAACAACAAATCTCTTTAATTAATCAATAATAAACGCCTAACCAACCACTTACATTTTACATTCAGATATTATATACAAGATTCTGATCAAACATTTTTAAGGAATTCAGAGCCCAGGCTAAAAGAATATATAGAATGAATATAAAATTTTAAATGAAATAAGTATATTTTGCTGTATTTATGTTTATTATTCCAGGTTTCTTTCATTAAAAAGAAATATAACTTGTTTTATGATAATTATATTTATAACAAACCCTTTGGTATATATACACATCAAATTTTGTCAATTAAGATTATGTTCTGGAGGATGAAGTACATTTCCCAAAGGTAAGAGATCTTTTAAAAATCCAAATATAAGGGTTGGGGTTGTGGCTCAATGGTAGAAGGACTTGATTAGCATGTGTGAGGCACTGGCTTGGATTCTCAGCACTGCATACAAATAAATGAATAAAAGTCCATCAATGTCTAAAACAATTTTTTTTAAAAAAATCCAAATATAAATATGTATATATTCTTTAAACTAGAAGTCTCAAATACTCAAATGTTAAAGAGAATAAGTACAGTTAAGCAAGAGGAAGATTACTGAGACTATTTTTAAAAATTATTTCAAAGACCAGCCAATTTTTTAAAACTGATGAAGACAAACTGTTGTGCTACAATATATGTATCTTAACTTTATAAATTACATAACTATCAAAAAATAATCTAAAGCAACTGAAAAAAAAAGAGTTCAGTAATTACTTACCTGACTTTATCCCTGAACTTCACAATTGGCACTTTTGCTCGAATCAGCTGAGGTCTCTCAATATAGCCGGCTGAAGGAGAAAAGATAATGTGAATATATGCTAATATTTCTCAAATTCATAGCGTTCCAATGCACATTTTTTAAAAATAGTAATCTTACTAAGCTAAAACAACTTAAGAAAATGCTATCTTTGAGAAAGAAAGCAAAGAAATGAGGACATTATTAAATTCTTCTACAACTGAAGAATCTAGTAATACCATTTAGAAGACTTTGTATTAAGGTTATTTTCAGCAATGGTACTAATGGTAATTGGTACTAAAATCTGATAGTACCTATAAATTAATTCATCGTAACATTATAAAAATGAAAAAATATCTAGGCTAGCAACAGGCAGGTAGCTAAATTCTGGTTTGGCACATAGTAAGAAATGATAGCTACAAAAATCATCTTCAAAAGAATCTTAAATGTAAAAAATACTTGTAACATGGTATGTGAGGCAAGGACACATTCTAGTAAGTATACTCTCTAAGAGAAAGAAAACATTTTTATTCCATCAAACTTTTTAAAATATTTATTCTGAGTTCAAAGTAATACGTCTACATTGTAAGAAATGTACAAAGTGGTAATTCTATAAACCTTTCCCAAATGAGCAATTTCCTAATTTTTTAGCTACAGAAAAGGTTAGTATCAGATTTTAAAAAGGATAAAAATAAATTTTTAAAAAACATGAAATTTTTCTGTTATTGTTTTTAGCCATTAAAGTCATAAAATACACCAAGCTTCAAAATAAAATTTACATGCAAGAATTCAGTGAGGCTAAATGAAAACTAAAATTAAGAGTTAAAAGTTTTGAGTAACAAGTATAGATTCTGACATGAACAAACTGTGCCTCACAAGCAAGTTACTAACCCAGTGATCACCAGTTTCCTTAACTACAAATGCCAAAAAGGAGGAAAAAACAACAAAACAAAACACTTTATTTGAATAAGATGATCTGCAAGATCCCTTTTCAAAATATTTTACAATTCTAATAAAAACTTTTAAAACACCATTTAAGGTACAAATTAATCCTTTCTTTTATGGATGCAATAACCACATTCACTGAAATAAATCACATGATTTATTCCTCTCCTACAATAGATCTAAAGTGTTCAAGGCCAGAAACTCATTACTTGACTTTGTATTTTCAAGCTCAAAGTGAGTATCTGTTAAACAAACAGACTAACATCTTTCCAACATCATCCAATCAGTGGGATTTCAACTTTATTTAATATTCTGTTGATGTTTAAAATAAATTATTCAAGATGGCTTAACATGTACATTAAAATCTGGTTAGAGTCAGAATATTAAAAGAATAAAATCTTGCAATAAAATGGTCTAAGCTAACAATTTTGCTTTCTGCTGGAGTAATACATTTGGGCCTCATGTTCAGGGATACTATTTTTAAAACAAGTAAAGATGGATATCATTACAAAACAGATGTAATTCTCTCTCCCTCACATGAATACCTAACAGGACTTTATTTGTATCACTCTTTCAGCCCTTCAGATACTTTACATTATAGCTATTTATCCATACTTTAGTTTCCCTAACATTCTATAACCTTTTGAAAAAAGGACTAAAGTTTTTGTATCTCTGAATCCCTCACTGCTTCCAGTGAGATATTCTGCAAGTGAGCTCAATAAAGATATGTTGAATAAAAGATCACTTTTTAATCAAACGTTAAAAGGAATTTATTTGGAAAAAAGGATCCACATTATACCTATCCTGACCAGAAATTAAACAATTCTTACCAGAAAATAAAATAAAGAGATATTTTTAATAAATAAGTCAGATGACTATGAACTTGAGGCATGTCAGACTTACAAAGTCTAGTACAGAAGTGTTTATGGACTAAAGTGAGTATATGCCGTGCTTCAGTCTTCTGATTTACCTGAAAAAAACACTGAAAAGTTAAAAATAAAGTGTTTTTTCATTATCTTTCTCAGCTTAGTGTTTCATTTTCTTAAAGTATCTCAACAAAATGAAAACATACAGGTATCCTTTTCTTCAGAGTTATTTTCCAAATCACACTAGATTACATTATAGAAAAAGCTAACCTTTAATGCTCTTTCACATCCACACTTCTAACTCAATTCCTAGTTTTAAACTTAAAATACAACTTGAAAATCAGTTTGAAACAGCCATATGTCATCTTATTTCCTTCTGTATAAATGTACAAAAAGTAACCTCCAATAAAACAAAATTTTAACCTTCTCAGCAAGTTTTATTTCCCTTTCTAATCTCTGAACTACTTAAGGACAGGTTTATATCTATGGTTATTCAGTTTGAGTATAAGCTGCTACAATATGATTCAGACATGATTAAGACAGGAAGATAAGTAGAATATGCCTAGTGTAATCTAATTGCATGAGATTCTTAATTAAAACTCTTGTGAACTCCATTATGTTTATAATTTGAAGCCCCCCACTTGTCCTTTTATATGACTTCAAAGTATAGAAAAATACCAGAGTTTCTTTCCTGGAATAAATCTGTTTCTCATTTTCAGTAACTAGAACTCATTTCTGTAGTGGAATAATATGAATAGTAAAAATATACATTACCATTAATAGATTTTTGTATTTTTAATGATGCAGAACACAATATGGCCTATGAAAATTACACTAAACTTACTTAATTTAAGCTTTGGTAGTTCAGATGCTTCAGGTCAGCTTAACAAACGCCAGTCATTATTGTATTAAGGTATTCACAAAAGACCAGTTAACAGGAAACTCAAATAAATATAATATTAAATAACACCATTTGGTTGCTAAATAAAAACAAAAAGAAGGAACACAGCCAAAATGTCTTAGAATATAAAACTGAATAAATCACAAGAGTCTTACGTTAAATTTAAGTGAAATCTATTTTCTTGAAAACAGTAATTCTAAACCCCATAATATTTTCAAAGGAAAAAAGAAATATTAAAAATAGAAATCACTGAGAATTCAAATGGAAAGAAAATATATCAAAAATATAATACTGCCACATACTCTTCTTTGCTGCATTTTGATAAATATATCCAACTCACATTACATGTCAAAATAAAGGCAGAGCTCTTTAACAGTGAAGCTAGCATACTTTAAAGATTTAGAACTAAATTAATGCTAGAGTTCCTGTCATGTTCATTGTGTATAAGACTTAAATGAAAAAGCATTTCCTAAGTTCCCAGAATTACAATAAACAGAAAATGCAAAGAAGTAACTAAAATATAGCAAGTTCTTTTCCTCAATGACTTCTATGTGAAATTTCTTAACTGACGTAACATGAGAAACACACTTGGAATAAAGGTTTCAGTGCTTACTGGTTCTTCTTTAACAACAAGGCATAAATCACCATCACTGCTCCGGGTACCAAATCCATTTAAAGAGGACCCAACCAAAAAAAGTCTGCTTTCTAGAGAAAGATAAGAAAATTATAAGGTATTATTTAAAATTTAAAAAGGAATGCACAGATCTAAAGGGAATGCAAAATAAAAAATAAAAAAAAAAACATACGTGGAAATAAAAGCTGAATTTCTCTCTGCAGCTGTGTTCGACAGAGTTCTTTCTTCTTTAAGTCACTTATTTGCTGCTGACATGTTTCAAATAATTCCAGTATCTGCTGACTTAACTTGAATTCACAGGGGGAAAAAAAAGCAAAAGTTTCACTCAGAAATTCAAAATAATTGCCATACTTATTGTAAATCAATTCTGACAATATCTTTAAAATAAACATTATCTTTTTTAACACTTTCCAATACAAAAATCATAGCAGGTAAAATTATGGGTCACCCAAACTACAACCCTTGGCCACTGTAGGTTTTTTGCATGACTCATGAGTCAATAATGGTTTTTATATTTTTTAAAGAGTTACAAAAACAAAAATTTGCAGTAAAAACCATAGGAGTGACATCCAAAATATTTACTATCTGGTGCTTTAAAGAAGTTTGCCCTTGGTATTCACATGCATGAATGCCAAATATAACAACAGACTTAGAAATCCCTGCTATTCTACCCTCATGAAAACTACCCTCTTCTCTATTTTTATAACACATATCTTAACCCTGACTTCTTCAGGTGAGATTGTTATCAAATGACCTCTCTTGTTTGTCTACCTATCTGGTTAACACTGTCCCTCCAGCCCAACTCTTGCCATCACTGTAAATGATTTCCTTCTCTGTAATGAGCTCTTATCACAAAAACTACACCTCTGAACTTCTTTTACACCAATACTTTTCATCAGTATATACTCCTAAATATAATGTGGTCTTTACAATAAACCAGAACTGCCCTGGCTCTGAAATTTTAAATTCCAAAATACTATCTTGGCTTCAATCTCCTGTCCAACTTCCTTACTCCCCTCATACCTGCTTTAGATACACAAGAGATTTAGACTCCCTTGAATCCATTTTCTCCCAATCAGCACCTGAATGGTGTGATATTCTTCCCTAAGCAGTCTGGTACCCAAAATACATCCCTTGAATCACTCTCTTTTATCATACCTTAGCAACATCATCTCCTTGTCATGCTCTAAACATGTCTGACAAAATCCTATCTTTCTACTCTTATATCTAAGCTACTAAGAGACAAAATTTAAAAAATTAAAAATAAAAAACCTGAAGTCTTTCAAGTTCATAGTGCACCTTTAGTTAGCATCACTCAGCAATTATTTTTATGTCTGTGGTTAGATACTGTTTCTAGTTTTCACCATACCATTCCATAATCTTTACTTCCTTCTTCGAGCTCCCTAAACTTATCTCACTTTTTCTAGCAGATAAGCTTAGCTTCCTAACAGACCTGCAAATAAGAGATATGAAGAAAATTTCTTTACCTCTCCTGACAAATTAATTCCTTCCCATGTTCAAAGCTAATCTCTCTACTAATACTTTTATAACTAAGCCTTCTGTCCATTTTCAAGGGCAAATACCACCATCCAGTTTTTCATTCTCTCCCTTGTATTTTCAATCTCCTCGAATCTAGTTCTCCATGGACATGACCAGGCAAAAGTCTCATCCATCTTTTAAAATGTTTTCTTTTATCATATTTAGAATAGTCATTGTAAGAAAGCTGAGGCACTGTGGGCAACTTGGCAATGAAAGAGATAATTTCTTAATATCCCTAGATATCTGCTCACAAAAAAAGAGCAAGTAGGAGAATAAAATAAAACATCAAACTAAATCAAAACAAAGCATGGGCAACAAATATAACACAAATAATTAATTGACTGGACATACTTCAGAATGTGACCAGTAGGAGCCAAACATCAATAGCAGCAAGACACACAGAGTATCACAAAAAAATAAGGGAAAGGGAATTTGGCAACCCTACAACCAAATTTCCAGAAATCTAATGGCCTATAGGTGCTACCTTCTTCCTCTCACTGTTCCCCATCCTCTAAATTGGGGGGGTGGGGGTGGGGGGGTGGGTGTCTCACTTGGTGTGAAATAGCAGCCAACACTGGCAGAGAGCTTCACAGGTTACAATTTACAATTAAGGGGGTCATGGAAAAATTGAAGATTTCTAAAGTAAATGAAAATTCCTTCCACGACAAAGGAACACACATCGCAGAGACTTTCAGGAGAAGAAATCTAAACTAGGCAGAACCATCAGAGGCAAAGGAAGGGTGTAAAATGATTCTGACTCCCAGGGGATGGATAGTCAACAATGTTCGAAAACACTTTTGGTTATACTAACAGGATGGGGGTGTCACTGGCAATTAGGGGCCAGATCTGCAACTAAATTTTCTACAATGCACAGAATAAACAGAAGTCCTCCCCGCTCCCCACCCGCCAGCCCTAAGGAAAGATTATTTAGCCTGAAATATCAATACAGATGGTGAAAAATTCTGACCTAGATAAAAGCAGGTAAGAAGAGAAAATACCATGTAACAACGGAGACACAGAATTAGGAAAGCTAGGCTGCCCAATCCTCTTCATTTAAAAGTAGTATAGGAAAGTCATCTCACTTATACACAAATAACAAGTGAGAATGAGAACAGAAAGAAAATTTAAAGAAAAAAACCTGAAAACGAGTTTCATCAACTCCCCAAGTTTTTATAAGCAAAATGAGAACAAAGTAACATTACTATAAACAATGAAGCACCCCAGAAAGACATGTCCCTGAAAACATGAAAAAATTTTGTAGTACAAAAGGCCTTTTTAAAATTTTCTAAAAATTAATTATTTAACACACAGAAATAAAAAGAGATTTAATTTTTTAAAAAGTTATGATAATAGCAAAAGACATGAAATATTTAGAAATATATTTGCCAAAAGATGTTATACTTGTACAATGAAAAATATAATATATTGATACAAATTAAATTAAATCAATGGAGAGAGATATACAAAGATCAAAAAAATATTGGTAAACATGTCAACTCTTCCAGCACTGATCTATAGATTCAATGAAAATGAAATAAAAACCCAGGTTTCTTCCTAGAAACTGACAAAACTCTACTTGGAAAGGCAAAATACCAAGAATAGTCAAGAAAAACAAAGTTGGAGGATATACACTACCTGACTTCTAGACTTATAAAGTTATAACAAGCAAGATAGCATGGCAGGGGAGCTGGGGCTGGGGCTCAGTGGTAGAGTGTTCGCACAGCATGTGCGAGGCCCTGGGTTTGATCCTCAGCACCACATGAAAAATAAAAACAAAAAATTAAGATATATTTTTAAAAAAAAAAAAAAAAGAATCTTCCTAGTCAGGTACAGAGGCCCAAGCCTGTAATCCCAGCAGCTCAGGAGGCTGAGGCAGGAGTATCACGAATTCAAAGCCAGCCTCAGCAAAAGTGAGGTGCTAAGCAACTCTGTGAGACCCTATCTCTAAATAAAATACAAAACAGGGCTAGGCACTTGACTCAGTGGTCCAGTGCCCCTGAGTTTAATCCTTGGTACCCAAAAATAATTTTCCTCACTATCTAGTCATTTACTTAGGGACTCACATTATTAAATCATTTTATTTTACTCTACAATAGACACACAGAACCCAAAAGAGACAAAACCTCAAGAGAAAACCCATACATGCTGAAAAAAGACTTCTGTTGTCTTATTTAGGGAAATAGAATTTCAGGACATGGCTCTCTTAAAAAATGGGTGGGGGCAGTATGTATGATATAAAATTTCCCTGGTTGAAATCATATATAATTTAGATCATATCAAGCTATTATGCATAATGGTACTTCTAGAATTTTTTTTTTTCATTCCAGGGTAAATTTTTTTCCTTATTATTAATTAAAAAAAAGAAAAAAGTTTCTTCCAAAGGTAAATATTCTCTTTTTCCTTAAAAAAATTATAATATTGCAAGTCAAGTCAAATTACCAATAAAATCATAATTGTTGGAGGGCAATACAAACCATAATAAAGGCAAGAAAAGAAAAGAGTGGGGTTTTTAAATATATTGATACACAAAGCTTGAGGCAAAACTTTCAGAGTTTTTTCAGTAGTTTCTCTACCTCTCTGTTAGTTGGTTCCCTTATAAAACAAAGTGAAAAAAATAGTAAGACCTTATCATATACTACAATGTATTAAAAAATGGTGACAGTATTTGCCTAAATTTAAGTGCTACTTATAAACAACAAACACACATTAGCAAGGAGCTTTCAAAATAAGAGAAATAAAATTAAATATGATCCAGAGAACAGATTATTAGCTTGTAAGCATTCTCTCACATTCTCTCATTACCTTAATCTTTGGCACACATGTAACTATACAGAAAGAGCTGGTACTAATTTACTAAGTAGAATAAAGTTAGAAGGGTTGAAGAGTGTACTTCAGTAATGCTTAGCATGCATAAGGCCCTGGGTTTGATTCCCAGAACCAAAATTAACTGATTAAAGCTAGATGTTTAACAAAAGTTTAAATTTATTCTTGATGCAGAATTCCCTTTCCCTTCAAATTAACAAATTCTAAGATAAAATACAATCAGAAATATGCCTAAAACATCCCACTCTTTGTTAGCATGATAAAGTTATTGTGATTTTTGTGTATGCACACAATGTGTAACCTTCTTAATTTATAAACTGGCAGGCTGAAAACGCAGTTTATATTACTGGTTTATTTTGGAGTTTTGTTTTGTTTTGTTTTCCCTTGAATTTGATTGCTTTTGGGCACATATCGAATTTATCAAAGGAAGAATTACATTATAAATTAAAGAAAAAAATAATCTTTTGCTAGATTTCTTTTGTACTGAGTTCTGATTTAGGTTGCTCTACATAAATACACACTGTGCAGCTTCCAGAATTTTTTGATAGACACGTAAAGTAAAAACACAGAGGTCCTTATCTAAGGTAGTTGTCCCCAAATATTTCCTCTAAGGATGCAAAGAGGTGCCACAAAATTTGTTCCTTTCCAAAATTAAACACTACACACGAAATTTTGAATACTTTCTTCACAATCATCTTTTTACATTATAATCAAGATCAACAAACCTCAGCCTAACCTCAACTCAAAAATTGAAATCGATTAAACTGATTTACATGATAACTTCAACTAACCAGAATTTTCAAAGAATAGTTATAAAAGATGAAATTCACAAGCTTGGACAACTCTTGATTTCTCCATAGGCTCTTTTTTGTACAGGAAAGTATATATTCACCTATAATCCAGAGCAAAAAACAAGTTAAAATTC